AGAAACCTACCTCTCTAATATTTATTTTTCACATTCCGCCCAAGAAAAGTAGAAATAACTCTGTGGAATAGGGGGGGGGGGGGGGGGAAGAGTGGTAGGCCTATAGTATATTGGGTGGGGGGGGGGGGTTTGATGGAGGAATTTGGGTTGAGATGGAGTTATAGGGCGGATGGGTGTGAGTGTTTGCTGAGTAATATTAAAATCAGACCAAAGGCTTGAATTTTTGTAAATTCAGAAAAATAACAAATTTTCAATGCACTCTATCGGAGGTTATTTCTAATCGATTTTCAAGTCTAAATAGTGCATTTTGAAGGAAATTTTGTCACCTTCCTAGGGGGTAAAATTCGCTAGAATTCATAGTTTTCGACTTATAATATAAAAAGTGAAAAAAGTGCTAAAATTTTGCTGTTTTTTGCAAATATCTCGGAACGCTCAAGAAATATTTGTTGGACAACTTTAGATTCGGATTCAGCGCCCCAAAAAACATAAATGTTAGACAAAATTCCTTGGACACCATTTTTGTCCACGTTGGATACGGATTGACTGTACTATAGAGGCATTGGATTGTCTCGTACAATGAATTCTAATTTTAAAAAAACTAACAGTACAGATGTACAAAATTTCATTGTGCACTTAATTTATTTCAAACTCTATTCACATAAAAAAGATGACTAATTGGAAAAAACACCTGTAGAACATTATGGGAAAATTGGTTTGATATAAACAAGGTTATGTTGTGATAGTTATAATCAAATGTTTACCTAGCAGTTCAATGTTTTGATAAGGACAGGTAATACTGATAAGGTAGGCTATTGTTGGTCAAGGAAACACTGGTGTAAAACAGTGGGTTTCACCATACTTCCATTGGAAACATACAACTTGTATGAAAGTCTCATAAATTAAAAACTAGTATCTTTACCTGTACTTCAAAGCAGGATATGAAGCTAAATCCTATAAAAGCAATTGTGGAAAACAAGTATAAAGTTATCAAGTTGTAGTAAAATCCCTTTATCTTATTCATATTCACTGTGAGCAAAAAGAAAATGAACATTTCTCACTTCCTGTAATTAATTAAAGGTAAAGCCATTTTAAATCAATATTACAGTTTCTTTGACGTTTTCCTTTTATATGTTTTCAATATTATAATGGACCTTAGGTCCCCACTTTAAATAATCTGAGGACAAGATAGAATCATCCATCATACAAGACATCTATTGATTTGTTGTTCATAATTTATTACTCTTTCTGTTACCTTTTGAGTCCCAGGGAGCAATCATTGATTAATTATGCATTTTTATCATGTTCTTCCTTTCTTATGAAACAAATCTAAATTCTTATAAAATCTGTGAACGCCCACACAAAAAGAATACATTGAATAAGTTAAATTTCTGATTTAAGGTGCAACTCGGACAGAATCAACACATCCTTTAAACTCTACATGAGCTGTCTACATTACCAGATATACCTAAGACAGGACTTGAACCCGTGATCTCCTGGCTAGGTGGATAACACCTAAAAAAGGTCAACTTTTGATCAGAACTAACAACACTAGTAGAATTCAAAGCCCAACGATAGAGGCTATAAGCTTCATTGGTGTAGTAGAGCGGGAACGGCATTCCCACTCTACTTTTTCCAACAGTCCTACATTTAATTACAATATATCAGATACTTCTTAGGCCGGGGCCACACTTGTAATTTTTAACCAGCGAGACTGCTTTTCCCGTTTTCACGTGCGACGCATGTGGAACAGTTTGACCGTGGCCACACTCGTCTTACGAGATAGGTTTTTCGGGCAAACCAGCGAGACTGATAGAGCATGCTACACTGGCAATAAAAATCGTCCGTGTCCGTGATCCGCACTCCCCCCCCTCCACGCTCACTGTATAATACATCAGTCAGGTTAAAACTAGAAACGTCCGAGGAAAAAATTAAGCGAGATAAGATGAGTGTGTTCACTCCCATAAGCCGCAATGCCCCGCGACTAGTTTTACGTGCAACGCCCGTGGAATGTTAGTAGAGAATACACGTGCAATTCCGTTTGTCAGTCTCCACGGACGTTTTTACTCTAGTGTGGCCTGCCCCATATACCGTAATGTATCTCTCAAACCGACGGGTAACGCCCGTGGAAAAGATTCAGCGAGATAAGATGAGTGTGGCCCCGGCCTTAGATGGTGAGCGTTTCCACACTAGATATTTTACGACTACACCACAGATAAGCTTGATTTAAATACTGCATCATATAGACATAGCTTTCAGCATTTTTAATCAATGTAGTATAGATCATCGTAAAATAATGTTTGGTTATTTTACTCTTAATGGCCGCCTTTGGGACTTAAAATGCTTAAACAACCCAAGGCTATTAAAAAGAAAAAGAGGTTGCCTCAGTCGCGCGTATGACGTCACCCGCCGACCCGGACGGTGCTGCTTTTAATTCACACAGCTGTCACCTGTCAAGTACTTTGTTATTGTTGTTTGTTTTTCATTTATTTATTTGTAAACAGATCCGGGTCGGCGGGTGACGTCATACGCGCGACTGAGGCAACCTCTTTTTCTTTTTAATAGCCTTGTAAACAACCAGGTATTTTTGCTATCTTGGATATCTTCTCTAAAAAAACTGTAATCATAATTATTTTTGAGTGAAAATGTTATAAATATAGCATCTAATAACATAGTAGCCTATATTTTAAAATTCTAAATGACGAGGAAACAAGTAAACTTAATTAAAGTATATTTTATGAAACCGATGTTATTATGACATCTGACTGTATAGCTAGGTTGGTATGCTAATGAGTATTATGACTACCATTGTTTAGTTAACAATCATTAGACCAACTGTGTTTACAAGTAGCTAGCTCTAGAGAAGAACATCATTCAATAATCAGTGGATGAAAGGGGCATGCGCTGGTTCAACCGATTTATAACTAATGAAAATCTGCAATTTGGAAAACCAGCAACTACTTTTGCTGATGAAATACTTTAAAAGTAAACTTGAAAAACATATTAACCAATAATATAATTCGCAAAAATGTTACAGTTTAAAAACCTTTTATACTAATCAAAATTTACATATTCAAAAATGTAATTTTTTTAACCGGAAAAATACTATTTATAAAAGTACTAAACTGATCATTTAAGAAATTATGTTATTTCATTCATTACTTAAGTTTCAACGTAAATAACCAAACGCTGCAGTTAGGTTGAGTTCACAAATAGTTGTTGTTCATCTGGAAGTTATGGTATTAGCTAGTCAGCTGTAGTAGTGAATTAGTCACCAGTTTTTGTACTCTCCAAAATACACCACATATTACAACATTATGTTGACAAACTCGTTGCTTGAGCAGGCACGTTCCTAGCACAGAAACCTTGTCAGTATCTCCGTCTCAAAGTATTAGACGATTACTCTACTATTCCATCTTCAACATCCAGGTGACAAACAATGTTTATTGTGATTGGCCGTTTTACCATATGATAGCAATCAATACCTGTTAGCCTACAATGTTAATGTTATGGACGCAAATAAGACTTTAATAATAGATTTACTCTACTGTACTCTTTTCTAAACAAAAAAAAGCTTTGAGTCCACCATCCAGAAATAACTCAACTATAATTTCTATGCAATAAAAACATAGTTATTGAAAAGAGTAAATAATTACAAGGAGATAGTCACAAGAATATCTATTTACTGTACTTATTGTTATTTCAGTTTAAGGATTTTTAGCTTAACTTTAAAATTTTTTGATTAATTTATGTTGTCTCCAGAATTGCTGAATTACAAAGTAATCAAAGCTGTTTACAGTACATTATCAAAGAAAAATGAATTACATGGAAAGTATGTACATATTCTTGATTACATAAAAAAATAGTACTAAACATATAAATAAATCGTAAGGTGTAAGGTAAATTTTTTCTACCTTAAATAAATATATAATTTAAAAAAATAATATGAAAAAATTAAATTATTGAGTACCGTAATATCAAATCCACCATACTGGTTGTGCAGTCACACTGCTTTCAAAATTCAACAAGTTCATCTGCACACGGTAACATGTCGTGGGTAAAGTTCTCATACAACTAACTGTGGTCTAAATTGAAAAAGGGTGTTTTAGCTTAACTTAAATTTAAAAATATATCTCTTTACACGCCCATTATGAAATTCATTTTAGTTTTCATTGTCCAGAATACTCAATAATATTATATTGTTCAATACCAATAATATAAACCGTGACAAAAAACATAATGTTTCGGTTGATTCATTCTACACTACCGAGCATTGTAAGCTACTGTAAAGGAAATCCAAGTCCTTGTCTTGCCGATTGTGAAGAGAGAAATGTGAATAGGTCCAGTACTCAGGGCCGCAGCTCTGAGTCAAGGTTGCTTTCTACATGCAGCTGAATAGTCCCTTTAGACCTCCCCCTCTAACCTTGGAAACAACCTGTTACGTTGCATTGCACTTCTGTGCTGTAGATAATCTATGATATATCATCAAAATGGCTAATGAGCCAAGCTTTTTTTCTATAGACGAATTTTCTAGCACAAATCAGCCTACTCCGAATTTTTAACACTGTTGGCAGTGAGTAAGCAGCCTACATGACCAAAACTCTTTATACTAAATTCCTCGAACAATTAAAAATTTTTTTTGGATTTGAAGAATTGTTAATTTAAGTTTTTATAAATTTACAAAATAATTTAGCGTTCCGTCTTAGAGTTTTAAATTTAAATATTATGTTTAGTTTAAGCAACAAAATATTTGATTTGCTTCATGAAATGATAGATCTAAGCATGATGTCATGTTTGTGTCCTGACTCCTGTCGTTGTCTATTGTAACTTTATGTTGCTGATTAACCATAAAAGATTATTATTATTATTCAACCCAATTAAGTTTCTAAACTAACTGCAGCAGCTAAAATTATGAAAGCTATACAATAGATGTACTGTATGAATACCAAACTATCATAAGAATTTCAAGAACCACTAGCCATGGATAAGAAGTATTTTTTTACCTTGTTTAGTTTTCCTAGAGCTGATATCAAGTCTGCCCACTCGCTGGTGTACTCGAAACTCTTGAGCGCTTTGTCCACTGCAGACACATACCTGCGCAAAAATTCAGTTAGGTATAGTTGTAGTTAGGTGTAGTCGTTTGTACATAATCATACTTTGTTGTAATCAAGCAATATAAAAATATGTAATGATCATCAATACGTTACAGAGTAAATTTGATCACTTGGACCTAAGGTGGCTCTTTTCAACAAAGAGTAGATTAGGAGTCCTTGAAGCCTAGACGTTTTAACTCATAAAACAATTACAAAACAAATTTCTATAATCTCTCAGTATACTAGATATTTAAATTACAATCACTTTAGCATTTGAAAAAATATTTTGAGGTGGTAAATAACTCTTTAGCGGCTGGTTGAAAATAACAAAATTAAAATTGCACTTATGGCGGGCAGATCCAAGATAGCCATCCATGAACTCACTTGGAAATACATTCTAAACCACAAACAACATTTCTAATCCCACAGTATACTAGATATTTCTATAATAATCACTTTGGTGTTTGAAAAACTATTTTTGGATGATAATTAACTCTTTAGCAGCTGTTTGAAATTATCCAAGATGGCCGCTAGCCTCCAAGGGGGTCTTAACGGCCAGGCAAAGCCAAGGTCGGTTAAGCAAGGGATGAAAAGACATTTTGGCTATATTTTTTGCTTTACTGCACCATATTACTAAGCTAACCAATTCGCTAAAAGCTAAAATGTTTTAATTTTTTTACTCATAAAAAATATCTCACAAATTTTTTTCCCTCTTTTACGTACGAAAAAAATTTGAAACAATTTAAAAAGGCGCTATTACTATGGTCAACTCAAATAGATCTGGCGGTTCTATTTCCAGCTGGCCTATTTCAAAACATTACCTTGACCCCCAAGTTCTATTTGCTTTGATTGTAGTACATATAATATGTATTTAGATGCATAAGGTATATTCTGTCAATATAATAAATTATTCAAATCTTAAATACGGTAGGCCTACTCAAATATTAATTTAAATTTATTCTAAATGATGATGTTATTGTAATAAAACAAGGTGTGACACGATGATAAAACACACTAACAAATAAAAACAATACACTAATATTTTTATCAATCCGGCTATTGCCTTTGGCAAAATCAGTTAATACAAATTTTAAAGTCACAAAAATGTACAGCTGACAAGCCTAACACCAGCTGATTCTTTTTGCCCTAGGGATTAAAAGGCCTACATAAACTCTACAATGTATTGAAAAAAGCTTTTTTTGATGCAGTGTAGAATTAGTTACACTTTACAAATCTTTGAGCAGAAATACAAGTTTATTCAAACGTTTGTAATATTTTTAATAGCAAATTTATTAATTTTTTGAAAAATCTAAGTTAGGTAGTATTTTATTTAGGGTATTATATAAATCCTATATTGTAGAAAATAAAAAATACCTCTGCCACAGCAAACCTGCCGACTAAGCGAATTTCCATTTGTCTGAATTGATTTTCAATTAAATCTATTTAGGCTAAATAACATTAGGTTTAACAAGTACCTAGGTTTGCTGCTACAAAGAAACTAATAAAGTGTGATTTTTAGTAAAATATTAATAGCTTAGTATAAAATAAATAAATTTAGGTACCAAGTTTGATCAAAATATATCCATAATCAAGTAAACTACCAGTACAACATTTTACAATATTCGCCATACAAAGGAATTTTAAATTTAAAATTTTTTGAATTTTCTCCGTTACCAATAACTGTACAAAAACTATTTGATATACTAAATCCTTTTTTTAGGTCTAGAGAGAAATTAATAAATTTTGTGTATTGAGGGTCAAAAATGAGAAAAACCAATTTTTACCCCATAAAACCCCTTTCCCATGGCCTGATCATGCTGGTTCGCAAATTCATTCAAGTTTATCCCGCCTTACACCTTAAAACCAAATTTCATCAAAATCGGACAAAAATTACTCTGAACGAATGGTGTTTTTGGCCACTGGGACATCAAAATGAAAAAGTAAATTGGTATCGGGCCTAGGTCTTACCGTGCCACCTACGGTAATAGCTACTTAGGAAAATTCACTAAAACTGAAAATTAGTTTCTTAAGTTCCAATTTAAATCATGCTTGCTACACCAACGGAATTATTAACAGAATCATTCAAGAGTACAAGATTAGGTTAGCTCGGGAGATGCTAATTACAGCTGAGTTTACGGGTTTATGTTAGGTGAGCTGGAACATCAACAAGACTCGTTCCGTTACGGCCAAACATCCGGTTAACACTTGGATCTCACAGACAACACAACGTCAAAGGAACTTTCTTTACTATGTTGGACACAGAATAATAACATTTGAATTAAACAGATTCAATCTGTAAAAAAATATATATCTTTTCCCTGTTGGTCATGTAAATTGTAATTTCTCAAACAAAAACTATTTATTAATCTTTTACTTAATGTGTCCATTATACACAATTTAATAAAAAAGCAATCCTAGATTATTTTTTTGTAGAATAATAAATTATTAAAATACAACCAATTCAGCATTCAGTAAAAACCCGACTTATGTTTTTTGTTTTCAATTAGCCTTGGGGCATTTCTTAAGCTTAGCTAAGTAACAGTAAATCTTTAATGTTATTAATTTTTATCTTATACTAGGCACTAGTAAAATTGTGATAGGACCAAAAATTGTAAATGATTCTTTAAAAGCCACTGTAGAGGATAGTTAGTACTGCTATTGACAATAGATTACAGTGTGTTTCATTCAATCAATGGCTTCTTCATAAAACAAATAACTTAATTTCACAAAATTAATAGCTAATATTAGGTTGGCAGTAGTTTAAAAAGGATTTGAGAAGGAAACATGAACAGCAAAATGTAAACATTGAACTTAAACCAATTAATCATTTTTGTGTCCTTTACATAACTTTGAAATCTCAGGGGACATGGCCCTGATGGATTTTAAGAAATATAACATTAACATTCCCAGAAATAGAAATGCATAGACAATTTTCCCAAGTTTCACAGATTGGGTGGATGCAAGGTCAAACAAACATTCCGACAGGCAGGCATACATTTGATTGTATATAGGTAAAATGTTTATACTTTTAGGCATCACAACTCACTAATGTATGAATCCATTATACGAATAAAGTAAAAGTTAAGGACGAATATTTCATAAAGGAAAGCCAAGTAGAGCGTGTTCAGCAGTAAACCTTATCATTGAGAAACTGATAGTGATGTCTCACAAGTATCATTTTAACTCGTCCCTAGCTCATTAAGTAGGGTAACTTATTTACATACCTGACAACATAGAAATGTTAATTCACTGGAATTACACTACAGTTGTCTCTTGGAAATAGAACAGCTAAGAGACCAGGAGGATGTCGAATTGCTAAATGTTGGATTATCAAGATTGTTTTCAGAGAATTTTTCAAATAGAGAATTTATGGGATAAAGTAAACTGTTGTAGTTTGCTTGTTTATAGATAACGAATATATTTTAATTAAATTTCATAAATTTATTTATTTCATACAAAGTCACATTTCAATTATTACAGACACTTTATTACCTTCCCCGTAGAAGCAAACCTAAGTACCAGTACTCATAAGTTATTTAAATAGGGAATAAGTCTGCCAAGTTTTGTTTGTTGTTAAGTCTGACAATTTTAAGGGAATATTCTAGTGAAAGTCAAACTAGCTAAGATAATTAGAAGCTCGCTTAGTCTGCAGGTTTGCTGTGACAGGAGTATGCATTTCATTGATATAAATAAATACCGGTACTTTATCGTCTTGACAATATACATTGTATCGACAGTACAATTAAATCACTTTTAACTTAAGTTTATAATTAAGTTAAACTCTTTATAATTCCGTTTTTAAATTTTGATGCATTTTTCATTAAAGTCTTCAATAGAATAGATCGGATCTTCGGATTTGTTTTAATTTTTTTATTATTTTAATTTTAACTTTTGAATAAGTTATTAGTTGGTAATTTGTTAAATAATTTTCTTATATTGTAATAAAGATGTTTTTCATAAAACTTTGTTTTGTGGAAATTAGAAGAAAATTTTGTAATTTTCTCAAATCATAATTCTTTTCACATATCAATTCATCATTTTTCCAGAATTTCTCAAAATTATTCTTTAAAAATCGTAATGTTTCGTAAATTTATAATGAGTAAAATAAGTCATAAGTCATAAGTATTTTATTGCATAAAACATTCTTCATTACAAAGGCAATGGTGAAGAGATGCATGGTCAATCAATAAGTTATAAAAACTAAAAGTAATGAGTTACAACAAAATACAACAAGAACAGCACAATTTAGAGAAAGTTACCAATTCAAACAAGTTAGAAAAAAGACAAATTCAAATTAAGATCTTGAAGCAATATCAGAGAAAAAAACAATTAAAAACATTCTGTGTCATATTTTACATAAACTAAGGTCAATTAATGTCACGGTCATTTAGGAAAGCTGCCAGGAAGTAATATGATTTCTCCACCAATAGCCTAATGATTTAGTCCAAATTTTAAATTTTTGTGGTGTATAGGATTTTATTTTTGAGGGGATCTTATTATATAGACAAATCCCCATATAGATGGGGTTTTTTTCAAAATGAGAGTGTTTATGAATTGGATAATTTAGCAGATTTGGGTTTCGATTTTTAAAAGGTCATTAACTGGTTATTTATGAAAACTTCCTTACAGGATTGGCGTGGTTTTAAGTTTTAAAAAATAATTCTTAATACAGACTTTTGTAATTGAAATATCTGTTTAGTTTTTGATGAAGTTGAGCCCCATATAGGTATTGCATAGGTATCTAATGTTGGAAATAATTAACGAATGATATAAAGAAAGTAATGCGTCTTTACTAGAGAACATAGACAATCTTCTTAGTATAAAAATAATTTGGGAAAGTGTTTTACATAAATGCTCAATATGTGAGTTGAAGTTTAAATTATGGTCTATAATAAGTCCTAGGAATTTGATTGTTCCTAGTTCTTCTATATGTTGATCAATAATTAAGATATTTATGTTGAATTTTTTTTATTTTATCTCTGATTGAAAACTCTATAAATTTTGTTTTATTTACATTAATTTCCAAATGGGTTTCCATGAAGCATTGTGCTAATTCATTTGATTCTTCATAACATTTCATTTCAAATTCTTCTCCATACTTGTTAGATAAAATACCACCCTTTATGTTCTAATGCAGTTTTAATATCCAACCATTTGGTACAGTATTAAAACGCCATGAAGTTAACCAAAATCACCAAAAAGTACATAATGTGGTTTATTGAAACTAGGCTACTTAAATGCAATGACAATACATATATTATTAACAATACAAGCTTAGGCCTAATTTGTTACCACTTAAGTTCTTTTGTAAAACTGCCAGTGGCGGACTAAGTATGTCGAACTAAAAACTGTCGTCTTACTGCGGAGGGTTTGTTTACTGTACTAAATCATGAAATTATATCAGCAGACATTCTGATTTGCCAGAAATAGCCTATAAATTTTATTTTATAGTTTCACAATATTATAAATCAACACTGATCTGAAGTGCCACATCAAATTTCCAGAACTATAGGCAAAACGCTATAATTAATAATGTTAATTAGAATATTTTACGAGTTTTCTTATAATACATCTCTGTGAGTTTGTGCAATATAGTCTTGACATATTCAGATGACATTTAGTCTCTAGGCTCCATGTGCATGTTATGACAGGCCAAGATAAGGTCAATCAATAAAAGCAAATGGCAGCTCTCTATTACTGGAATCAGCTGTTTGATTGATATGCTCCAACTTAATGCGAATTTGCCATTTGTCAATCCACACCCATTGTTTCATTTATAATCTGATTAAGATTATAAGACTAAGCTTTACAAGTCACGAAGAATTATTTATTGGTTAATTTCATTTAATTACTTTTAAAAATTATGATTATTCAATTGGGCCAACCTTTTGGTGTTTAATACTGTAACAAAACATATATCTTTGAAACTCAAAGATTATATTACATATTAAAATGATTAATTGTTAATCATGCAGATTGTATAGACCGTATTAATGTGGTCCATACAATCTGCATACAATCTGTCTATAACAAATTTTTGCAATTTGAATGTCTTTTTTTTGTCACTGAGTAAAAAAATAGGCCTACAACAAAAACAGTGTTTTGAACTAGAAAATCCTAAATTTTTTATTTAGATTTAGGGACGTTAAAAAATTATGAATTATTCAGCGATTGAACTATGGCTGGCATGTACAGTCAGGTTTTCCCTTATTTTATTGATAAAAACAGTTGCATAATGTTTGGTTCTACGATCAACTCAAATGTCAGCCCATCCCGCCAACTTTCACTTTCATAAATAAGCTATAGGTTTTCTGGCTAAAGGAAATAACACCTTAGGCCGGGGCCACACGAGGCGGATCATCCTCGCGGACGGTCCGTGCGGATGATCCGCGTGGTCTGACAACACTTTGAACCAAATGAGAGTGGCCACACGGGGCGATCCTAAGCCGCCTGGGTAGATTGTCCGCGCCATGTCGTCGATTGTCCACGCGATCATAGCCGGGTTGGAGGGGATGAGGGTCGCCGGAATTTTATCTCGCTGGAATATTACCCCCTCGGCAAAGCTGACGTCACTATGACGTAGTAGCCTGAGTGGCCAAAAGTTTGTTCGCGGCCAAAATTTTACCGCGGATTTGGAAGTCTAATGAAAATAGCCAGAGCGTGATTAATTAAACTATTAGCGTTAAAAACTGGAATCCATATAACTAGCGTATAGACAACTGAAGATGTACAGGCCGGATTTTTACCCCAGGATTTTTACCCCCAGAATTTTACCCCCGGATTTTTACCCCCTGGATTTTTACCCCCCGGAATTTTACCCCCTGGCGGATTTTAGAAATTGAATGATTGATTTTCTTATTTCTGTTTTTAATTAATTGTAAACATTTCATTTTATTTAGTCGCCTACCTTTATTTATTTATTTTGTAATCTCAACTAAGTAAACGGAATTCGCTGTTTAATTTTGATGTTTGGGATTTGCGTTTGGGGCCAACTGTTGGTTAATAAGTATGTAAAATAAACTGAGTAGCTCATTTAAATTATAATTGGGGGAACATTTCATCGTAAAGATACAATAAGGCATATTTTGTTATTGTTACAATACAAACAAAAAACATTGTTTACCACAGTTGTATAATAAATCGTTAAAAAAATCTTTGAATCAATTACCATTCTGATGTTTTTTTATAGGCTACGTCATATTAATCAACTGTTGGCTTCAAAGATCGAATCCTGATACTCGAATCCCAAAATTAAAATCAAAAACCTGTTCAATTAGTTGATGTTACAAATAAATTAAGATAGGCTACTTAAAAATAATATGTTTAACTTACTATTAAATTTAAAAAAATGTTCTGGGCAATGAGAGGGTTTGCAAAAGTTTTGATTCAATAATTAAATTATTTAATAAATGTTTTATTGAATCTGAGCAAAGCTCGGTTTCTCGGTAGGCTACTACTCTTAAAAACTTAGCATCAGCACCATGTGCAAAGCCACTGCCAGTTGCATGTCATCCAATATCTCAGCGCTGTCGCACGAAATCCAGGGCTCCTGTATACGAAGGTAGGATAAGTTAGGTTAGTTTGCACTACAGTCGGTAAAACAGTATTCACAGTGTGCAGGCGCTCAGGATGTCATGGGACAGCGCTGAGCCATTGGACGTGGTGCAACTGACAGCGGCTTTGGACGTGGTGCAACTGCTAACTTGCTCATTTAAGAATGCAAAATATGCTGGTTCACAACGACCAATCTTATGACTTCCAGATGTTTATTGCAATTACTTTTGGGCATGATGAAATTTGGACGTCGTGTAATGCATCCTACAAAAATAATTCCATTTTTCTATGTAAAATAGCCAAGATTTTTATATTGAGATCCCAGTTTTATGACTACGATAATTAGTAGGCACACAATCAGCCTAAGTTATAGAGTTATGGGGCTTTAACAAAATTAATATAGACTACTGTACCGGTACCAGTAACATAGCCTAATTCCTGTAACTATACAAAAAATAGGATAAGTTACTTAATAGTTACTTAAGTTAAGGCCTAATATTAACAATTCTAGGGTGTTGATATTGAATTGTTACTTTTTAATTTACCATTGGTAGGCATATCATATTAGCCTACAATTGTAACTTACAGTACCGGTAGTATTATCTTGTATAGACCAAACAAAAATGGACGAAACTTTGACCAAATGTCAGACATAACTTAACTCATACATTGTAGGGCCCTACGCCTTTTTGAGATTCCATTAAAAAAAATTACTATACTGAAAATACGTAGCCTATGAATGGACTATGGTGGCCTAGGATAAAATGTTAGACCCTATTACCTACAATTTTTGTATCTACGGTCAACTTGGTTTGAGTTAGGTAAATTAACTTACCGGTAGGCCTACTGAACTTAATTCATTCTTGGCTTTAAGTGTTTGACAATTTAACTTGAATTCTAGACTGTCCTGAGGATATATTTCTGCAACGCATCCGAAAAGTTATCCAGTAAGTTAGGCCTATTATCACCCAAAACAGGGTCCTCTCCCAAGGAACAAGATTTGAGAGTTTTTAACACCAAGTTCTTGCTTACAGTAACTTTAGACATTGACTATTATGATTTGCTTTTTATTGGGAAGGTTTTTTCAATAGTCTACATTCTCTTATAATATGCAAGTAGAATAATCAAAATTGTATAAGTTTTTTAAGTTAGAGGGAAGTCTGTAAGGTGAATTGATTTGTAAATATAGGTAGGCCTAGGCTATACCAGTGGAGATACATACAAAATAAATGTGATAATTTAGGCATAACTTAGACTTGACTTATGCCATGGAATAAGAAAGCTGGACTGCTTTGACTTTGTCCCAGGGCTAAAAGTGCCAAGCTAGGCTTTTGTAGGATGATGAAAATTTTACAACACCATATGGAAAAAGGTTCTCTTTCATGAAAAGAGATAAATATATATAATCTTTTTTAGTTCAAACTTTGCTTAGTCGTACTTACACTCTATATTTGGAATCCTTCATCAACTCATACTCTTCTAAAGCTATGGTCCCCATGTTTTCAGTAGGTTCCTTCTTTTATCACAGAACATACATAAAGAATACACTAATTTCAGTTGTAAGGAGGGAAATATTCGCACAACCCACGGGGTGGTAAAATGTACTCACAATTAGAACGTAGTAAAACTAAAACATCAAACATAGTACACGAATACACACATTGACTGACAACGACAAGATAAGCAATCCATTCCAGAACAACAGACATTAGCAGAACGCAAAACTAAAACTAGAAATGCAAACACACAACCTTATGACATGACTTGTGAACAGGGCTACCACGCTCGTCACATGTAATGATCGTTTACGTTATAGAGTATAACATATGTATGAACAAATATAATACTAGATAAGAATTAAATGATTTTTTTACTCGCTGTATATTATATGTTACTAATTTATTGCCAATTGAGATGGAGACACCAGCTACATGTGTATTTCAACCCAAATATTCAAGTTAATGTGAATGATGAGTATACTGACTTTATAATCAATGCATGGACTTATCATCCCATTGTACATTTTGAAGCTTGTTTTTTATATCTAGTTCATGTTGGTGACACTGGGCGCTAGTGTTGACAACATTTCGTTTACTTTATGGTTAGTTTAATGATTTGTGGTTTATTGGTTACTATAGGGCACAATTTATTGTTTATCATTAGATCTTTCTGGCTAAACACAGTTTTAAATAGCTAGAGAGAAATTGTTAACAATCCTATCCTATCCTATACAATCCTCGCTGGTACTATAACAATAATATCGCATTTAGGTAATCCATAAGGTTGACAACTCTACTAATGGTGTAAGTTTCTACCATGGTAGAATTGAGTGACTCACACTGAGATTGAGATGCCTAGTGTAACTTTACCACTTGGCATTTGCAACCAAACAGACCAGCTGCTTCATTAGCGTGGACCTGGACCATTCTTATAAAAGCTCAATGACCAAGTCATAAGTCATTGTCTTTATTGCCATTAAATACCGGTACAACAAGTACAATAGGCTCGTCATTTAAATAAACAAAACATGCCAAATTAAATCCATCAACAAACAATTCAAATAAATAAGCTCAAGTTATCAATAACGAAGATAAACATGGTCTGAGTTACACACCAGTACTCTTTGAGTTAACTCTTTTAAACTCATTTGAAATATGACTGTTATTCGTTTTGAAATAACTCCTGTATACTTTGCAATTGCTCGAATTCGAGCAACATGTACACTAGTACTTAATTAATTAAATTACTGAAATGATTACGGGTGTTCAATATTATGTATTGACTTTATATCATATATATTGTCCACATTTTTTTGTCCAAATAAGCAATTTTTATACCTATACACAAACTAAAGCTGGGTCCTAAGCTAAACATGCCTTAGAATCAATTTTAGGAACGTCGTTCTTTTTATGCCTCAGAAAATTATTGTCATCCAGATTTAACTTTTTCTGAGGAATAGTAATCATGTAACCCTGAGGATTATTTTTGAAGATATATTCCGCTAAAAAGTCTATGGGATCTTGAGGAATTTGAACAGCAACTTTGAAAATACCATTTGTCAAGGTGGGGAAAATATTATTGACTAAGTAGCTTATCAATGGATAGCTTCTTATTGCCAAAGTAATCTCTTCAACTTCATTCTGTTCAAGTTCCATTACTTCATCTTTTATACTATTTGCGACCTCGGGTTTTGATTTAGAAACCTGGTAATTTGTTTTCATTGGGTATTCCATATCTGAAATCGTTTCCACACATTGGAAACTTTCACTTGTACTTGATGGAACAACAGTTTCTGGATCTCTAAGATAGCAATATTTTTTAATAACGTACAACGTTTTATAAAACACATCATCTTCAGTGTCTCGATCAGTAAAATCTACTGTGGTTACCTTGCATTTTTCACCTAATTTAAAAAAGAATGATTCCATTATATTAACAGTTTCATTAGTATGAAGTTCAGTTCTCACTTGTGTGTCTATAAAAGGTTCTCCTTTTAAGCTTTTTGATACAGCATCAGAAAGGTTGGTTGAAGTGCTCATTTTTAAATCTTGCTCGTGGTGTGTTGAAACCACTGAAACCCTATGGTTATTTTTTTCGGATCCTGTTTGCTGGCTAAGCATATCTAATTTTTGGAAACTTGTTTGTTTATTATAAAATATTACCAAGTCGGGACTGTTTTGAATGTTTGTGATTTCATCAGAATTAGAAGTTTCTCCATTATTTTGATAAAATATAATATTAGCTTCTTCTGGATTCTGTGGATATTCATTAAGGATATAGCCTTGGTAAATGTAAGGGTTTCTTTTTAATAATCTTGCCATAATATTTACATTATCTGATAACTTTGAAAGAGTTGCACCATTAGAAGTATAATTTTTTATTGCATTAATTATTGGTTCCACGTCTTCCTTGCATTTCTCAACATCACACAATACTAAACCTGGAGTTAGGTTGGAACTTTTCAAATTATGTATATTTTGCATTTCTGGTGAGCCAAGTAAGTTATTTCCCTCAATCATCGCTTGTTTATTAAGAATCTCTTCAGCATATTTTGATATTTCGTGTTGAACGTTTATGAATGGAATTTTGTAATAATTACTAATCCCTTGGACAGCATTTTTCAATTTGCCGCTATCTGAAACGTTAAAGAATATCAATCGCAATGGTTTGTGATGTTTAGCCTCAACAAATTCCTTCACTATGTGGTTTATGTTTGCTGTAAAACCAGATTTGTAATTCCATGGTATATCTTCCTCTCTAAAGAGAGGATAACATGACTCCAAATAGACCTTGCTTGTAACTTTGTCAAATAGTTCTTGTGAGACCATATCATCAATAATCGCAAACTCTTTTGAATGAAATTCACAAATTCCTGTTCCTAAGCTTGAACTAATAGCTTTGGAAATATCTATCATGTTACTTTGAACTGGATCCTTGGCAAATACAAAGGGAATTTTTACATGACCTATGTGCTTTATTGTGGTCTTTATAATTTGTGCAAGATTATCTACATGAACTATGGGTATAATGTTGTTTTCTTGTGAATATATTGGTACATGTGTGTAGCAGTAAGCCTTTTCAAAGATGGGATACAACTCATTTTCTTCGTAGCCATAAGGTACACCACTTACAACTACTGCTGATTTTATTTTTTGCTCAAGTTGTGCTTTCACGATTTGTTCCTCCAATTCAAATAACAGTTGATAATTAGGGTGAGGAACTCTTATTCTATAATCACTTTCAATGAAAGGGAGTTCTTCGTCCATGCTAAGAGGTTTAGTGAGCGCCCAGGTCATAAAACTTGACACAAGAACAAATTTTGGCAATTCGTCAAATTTAGGGTTTCTATTACAATTAGCTTTACTTTCATCGATGAAATTGATTATGTTATTCAAAAGCCAAGCTGCTTCAATTAGTTGATCTAAGTTTTCATGTACACAATAAATTATAGTGCCACATTTAAGAAGTTCTTTGAGAAATTCAGGATCATCGAAGTTGTGTTTCAGAAGGATGACACCTTCAAAATCCTCTACACTTGTGTCCATAAAAGTTCCAACAATATCATATTTACAATTACGATTAATACCTGAGATTATATTGTCTTGGATATAATTTGTAGTTACTGATTCGTTTTCAAGAGGAGCTACTGCAAAATGGTTCACATGAAACCTTTTAAGCTTTTCTTTTAAAAATGCGTTTCTGCTTTCCAAAGATTCCAACTCCATCATGTCATAGTATTCTGCAATTGTCAACTTACTAGTGTCAAGCTGATTGCTCTTTTCTGATGAATTATTTGTATAATCCACATTTATCTCCTTTTTGGACATATTATGAAGTTTGTCTTTTACTTTTGGCACAGACGTTTCAGCATCACTAATTTTCAATTTTGATATTTCAACATCGCTTGGATTCGTCTTGGCAGAGCCAAAATCATGTTTATCATTATAACTAGGATAACTTTCATTCCGTAAATTGTCATTCAGGATAAGAGATACAATACGCTTTCCTGTAAATGAATCAATATGGTTTATGAAAATTCTGTTCGTAGTAAAATACTTTTCTTCAGTGATTTCTTCTGACAGTCTTTTTCTCGCTGCCTCGCTAAATCCTAAAATATCATCCAAATTAAATGGTTGAGGATGAGGAGGAAATATTGGGGCAGAACTATAAACGTCAGATCCTCGTGATACATCAGATAAAGCATCCATTTTTCGTACAATTATTGTACTACAATATAGTTTTTATTGGTAAAGATTATGTAAGACTGTGAAATTATTCATATTGATTATCTCGATTGAGATATTCCATTAGAGTAAATATTATTAAATGTTGTTTATCATATGTTTGGCTAATTAATTGTGAATAGTTATTTCCATAATAGAAAAAATTAGAATGTAGGTAATTTCAGAAAAGTTATTAAGTTCATATACCTACTGTAATTAATTTATGATATTAAATTGTATGGCAAGTCGATGGCTCAGCACAGAGCATAGAATAAATATTTATTCTATGCTCTGTGATGGCTCAGTATATTTGTGTTAGTTGGATATATTTTAATAGGAGGTGTTAAATTAAGGCATGCATCATAACTACAGATTGAGACATGGCCGGGCTGAGGGGGCATTGGCCTGTACAGTTTATGGGCCCTTAGCTTGGTTATCTTTGAGGTACAATTTATTTTAATGGGGGTACAAAATAGTACGAAATAGGTACTAAATATTAGCATAGCTTATAACCACAGGTTACGACATGGCCGGGCTGAGGGGTCATTGACCTGTACAGTTTACGGGCCCGTAGCTTGGTTTTCTTTGAGGTACAAATTATTTTAATGGAGGTACAAAATAGTACGAAATAGGTACTAAATGATGGTATACGTATTAGGATCAAATTCTAAAATGGCTGGGCCAGCATGTCACTGGCCCGGAATCCTAAATTAATTAGTTATCCGGTACCGAGTGGGGTACTAATTTTTCGTTTGTTGGTACTAAATAGTACGAAATAGGTACTAAATATTAGCATAATTCTTATGTACTAATTCCGTCATGGCCGGGCCAGTGACATGGACGTTGATAATTTGGAGGTAGGGGTTCGAATCCCACCGGAGGCTTTAACTTTTTGACTATCAGCAAGTTTGGTTGGTTTTGTTAGGTTATGATAGTTTAATTTTACAATAAAAAATTATATAATTGATTTTGAGACATTTATA